AGGTAGCCAGACATGCTGAAATGTGAATAAGAAGCCAGGTATTGTGATTTGTGAATAAGGTAGCCAGACATGGTGATATGTGAATAAGAAGCCAGGTATTGTAATTTGTGGATAAGGTAGCCAGACATGCTGAAATGTGAATAAGAAGCCAGATATTGTAATTTGTGAATAAGATAGCCAGACATGGTGATATGTGAATAAGAAGCCAGATATTGTGATTCGTGGATAAGGTAGCCAGATATGCTGAAATGTGAATAAGAAGCCAGGTATTGTGATTTTTGGATAAGGTAGCCAGACATGCTGAAATGTGAATAAGAAGCCAGATATTGTGATTCGTGGATAAGGTAGCCAGATATGCTGAAATGTGAATAAGAAGCCAGGTATTGTGATTTGTGGATAAGGTAGCCAGACATGCTGAAATGTGAATAAGAAGCCAGGTATTGTGATTTGTGAATAAGGTAGCCAGACATGGTGATATGTGAATAAGAAGCCAGATATTGTGATTTGTGGATAAGGTAGCCAGATATGCTGAAATGTGAATAACAAGCCAGATATTGTGATTTGTGGATAAGGTAGCCAGACATGCTGAAATGTGAATAAGAAGCCAGGTATTGTGATTTGTGAATAAGGTAGCCAGACATGGTGATATGTGAATAAGATGCCAGATATTGTGATTTGTGAATAAGGTAGCCAGACATGGAGATATGTGAAAAATAAGCCAGATATCGTAATTTATGAATAAGCTAGCCAGACATGGTGATATGTGAATAAGAAGCCAGATATTGTGATTTGTGAATAAGGTAGCCAGACATGGAGATATGTGAAAAATAAGCCAGATATCGTAATTTATGAATAAGGTAGCCAGACATGGTGATATGTGAATAAGAAGCCAGATATTGTGATTTGTGAATAAGGTAGCCAGACATGGAGATATGTGAAAAATAAGCCAGATATTGTAATTTGTGAATAAGGTAGCCAGACATGCTGAAATGTGAATAAGAAGCCAGATATTGTAATTTGTGAATAAGGTAGCCAGACATGGTGATATGCGAAAAAGAAGCCAGATATTGTAATTTATGGATAAGGCAGCTAGACATGGTGATATATAAATAAGAGGCCAGATATTGTGATTTGTAGATAAAGTAGACAGACATGGTTATATGTGAATAAGATGCCAGATATTGTGATTTGTGAATAAGGTAGCCAGACATGGAGATATGTGAAAAATAAGCCAGATATCGTAATTTATGAATAAGGTAGCCAGACATGGTGATATGTGAATAAGAAGCCAGATATTGTGATTTGTGAATAAGGTAGCCAGACATGGAGATATGTGAAAAATAAGCCAGATATTGTAATTTATGGATAAGGCAGCCAGACATGGTGATATGTAAATAAGGGGATGGATATTGTGATTTGTAGATAAGGTAGCCAGACATGCTGATATGTGAATAAGAAGCCAGATATTGTGATTTGTGGCTAAGTTAGCCAGACATGGTGATATGAGCGTGGAGCTGGGGGTCCCCCAGGGTTCCGCCGAGTGTCCGCCGTCCGTCAGACGTTGAGGGTCATTGTCCCCATCCAGCGCGGGGGAGCTTGCGGGAGGGGGCCAGCTGTTGGGGGTTTTGTCCCTCCCCCACTTTCTGTCTTTGTCGGGCGGGCGACAGCTGTGTCCGGTGGGTGGGTGGATGGTGGCCTTGACCATGGGATGGGAGCTCTTCAGTCTGCTTCCGTCCCCGCTACAGCTCGCCGTGGACTTGTGATCAACATTTGGATTCTATCGTGGATTCTCCTCCATCGTTGGATATGCTCTCTGTACCATTGATTTTTGTGACATTCCTTTTGGATTCCTTCTGCCTTACGTCGACTCTCGTCACACGACGTGCCGCAAATGTGATCTCCAGTCGACTTCTACGCTGAATATGACTCAGAATCATTTTTACTTTACTTCAATATTGGCTAGAAAGCTCGAAGATTCTACAAGTGAACGAACAACAAACTATGATTTCGAGAGAAAGAACAAAGAAAACCCACTTAAAATTATTTAAATTATATAAATAACCAACGTATTTACAAAATCAAAGAGCGAATGATATCGAAAGAATAGCGAGTTTTTTTTTGAATAATGAAAAGAATGAGAGTTCGTCTTTATAAAAACATTTATTTGAAAAGAGAACATGACCATCTCAATTTGGATATATAAAGATGAGCAACGATCCACAGAACAAATATGGATTTACAATTAAAACCAAAAGTTGTTGATGTTAAAATATGGTCATCTTCCGGAAACAAAGGCAAACTGCATAGAAACCAGGAAACAATGCATACGTTAATTAATTTAGTATATTATAGAAACTATCAAGCAACAACTCCATCAACAAGCTCGAAGAAATCCAAATCTAAATAAAACACCTTTGTTTATGTTTTCAACTACCCGACGAGAGAAGAATTAATTGCCCATATTCATGTACTCTCTAAATGGCAAAACAAGAAAAATAGTTTTTCAGATCAAAGAGCAAACATTTTGGATGTGATTTGATTTTTATGATATTCTAGAAGAAAATTCTATACAAGAAGTCAATAACTATATAATCAGAAAAATAATTTCAAATTATTAAATTTCACCAAACCTCATTTTCAAATACTCAAACAATAGCGAATTTTGCCAACTCTACTGCCAATGTTAATCGAGAATATTCATATAGATATCCTAATATGTGAAATATTTTGATGGAAAACTACTGCAGGAACAACAAGCTATTCACAAATATAATGGAGTTTACATGGAAGAACAGTATGATTTACCTTCTAATTGAAAGGATATTATCCAATTGTGGATTCTCTCTGCCATATGAATAGTCGCATCCTCGAGTCAACCAAGGTAAGCGAACTTTTCATCCCTTCCCATTTTGTCTTGAATCATTGATAAAGTAACTTTTATCCTAACGCTAACGTTAGTCCATGGACCAATGCTTATACCAGGCCTACTCAGAATTTAAGCGTGCTTAATTCTTCGCGGAACAACATTTTATCTCCACATTAAATGTATCATATTTTTTCATGAATATTCGGAATCATACATAAGATCAACCTTAGCATAGAGTAAAGAAACAAGGCATTTGATTTTTGGAATTCAATCAACGTTGAGTCTGTACATGCGAACATTGTCTCATATTTGTGGTTTGGCCCGTCGAAGAGCTTGTTTGAAAGGTTTTTCTTTATAGAGCTGAATAAATAAACTTGTAGTTGGTCTTCTGTAAACCATGTAATATATTCTAGCCATTCTATCATTTTAAATATTAGTTTGTAACAACCAAAATATAAAATAAAAAGGGAATCTACCAGAATTGCTGAGTTTGTTGGAAGCTTCTGTAAACCATGTAATATATTCTAGCGATTCTATCATTTGAAATATTAGTTTGTAACAACCAAAATATAAAGTAAAAAGGGAATCTACCAGAATTGCTGAGTTTGTTGGAAGCCTCCATTCAATTTTAACAGCTCTCTTTAAAATATTACTAAATTTTAAACTTGAATTTTAATCTAGAAGCATATTAGAGATAAATTTTACAAATACTCGAATAGATTCCAGAGCGTTTAAAAAGATTGAAGTTAATATTTGTTAAATGTATAAATATGTTAGTTTACACTAAAGTTCGACAATTTATCATTTTCTGATTTAAACACTAGTGAAACATATTTTTGTTTGGATTATATATATAAATATTTAAAATATACATTCCATAAACTTTAAAAATATTTTGCGATGTTGAACAACACGAATTCGCTCTTTCAAAATTTGTTAGTATTATGAAAAGATCAAGCCTTTTCAATGTCTTAAGATTTAGGAAAACTTTGTTTTTAAGCATTTTAAATAAGTCTGAGTCGTTGATATGTTAAAAGAATATTTAACAAAGTTGATTTGTATTTTTAAAAATTATTGTTTGATTCTAGAGAGCATTTATATGTCATACCTAATTATCCCTGTGAATTAATATAATATATATAATCTTTATACATATAAATATTCTCTACGATGTAGTAATATATTTATAATTTTTGTTCGTAAAACCTTTTATTAAGTTGCACGTGTAGGGATAATATATCTTTAAAATTTTATTATAATTCGAACACTATTGGTGAATATTTTAAACATTTGCGTTTGTTTTCTTTTAAGATTACAAGGAAATGCTTCAAGTGTATGTTCGAATAAAACAATTCTCCTAAAAAGAGACTTTATTCAATCTGCGAATGACAATGTGGTGACACAGGTTGTTAGGAGACCAATTGTCATTGTATTGTCAACGCACGTGGAATTACCATACAAAGGAAGCTAACATGACCTCGTCGAACATTTTGTTTACCCGGGGCTATGGAATTTATACATTTCCTTTACATTTATCGCTGAATGCTTTTTGTTGCTACACCTATCAGCCTACTGCTCGCTCATGTGTGTCTTTGGGACCTTTGGGAGAGGCCGCTGCTTATCTTAAAACAGCTCTAGTAGCATGAACTCATAGAATTTGTGTAATCTTTACACAAGGGGATAAGAAACAACAACATGTCTGTTTACAATCCTGTGTTCTTTGAAGGCAACCGCAATTTAGCTGCTGTGGGGTAAAAGAGAAAATAAAAGGTTCGCGGAATACTGAACTTTAAATAATAAAATGGCACATTGGTTATCTGATGGAATGATATCAAAATATGTTGTTGTTTGAATTCTAATCTAAAATTTAAATTATAGGCTAAACAAAAATATATAGATTAATATAAACAAAACTGACATTTTGGGTAATCCCTCCTTCAGTATACTAAAACGTTTTATAATATAATATAATGCGGCTGTGATTGTAAAGCGACATTTGAAAACTATCCCGCATGTGTTTCTTTTCAACGAAAAATCAAAATTTATTCCAAGGAGAAATAACGATTATTTCTAACCTTTGGGATGAGGTATGAAAGGGTGAATTGTGAAGAGTAATGATAAAGGGAAAAATAAAAGTGTCCAGGGATGGGAATCGAACCCACACTGTTCTGCTTACCGGGCAGATGCCATGTACATATTGCCATGCCATGGACATATTTTTCCGTAGGTAAATAATACATAAAATAATTTATAATACAATACGTTAAAACGTTTTAGTTAGCTGAAGAATGGCTTGCACGAAAGCTTCTTTAATCAAGTAAATAAAAGGAGTTACGGCGTCTTATGCCATTTTTATAATTTGTCGAAATCCTCAAACCTGTGATAATTAAAACTGACATTTTAATAACATTTGAACAGATTTTAAACTTCGAAAATCAGTTTACTAAAACATTAGAAATTTAAGCGACAACACTTCCTACCTACAAATGATTGCACATTTTCAGCAAATCTATCCCACCCATAGAAAGCAAAAATTGTCTTTTTATCTACCTACCTGATCAAGTATTGAAAAAACGGTGCCATTTAGTCAGCCAAGCAAAAAATAAAATACCATAATTAGCAAAATCGTAATGATATTTATTGATAAATTTGTAAAGCAATTATTCGGTAAAATTCTGAATTCAACCAATTCTACTTATTCACAGAGTTGTTAAGTTTCAAACTTACTTCACTCCTAATGTGCGAAAATTTAGTAAGGAATTCTAAAATCATAATTCTTCTCTTTGTTAAGTTTGTATGCAACTGTGAAACACTTCTTGAATGTAACCATACCAGCACTATCGCATTAGTAGACCATTCAGCCTGCTCGTCATATGTGAAGTCATTTATAAAACAGGCATCCAGTGTGCAAATGTGACGATAGACCTTCACGTTGAAGTTCAACATTCCAATTACTGGGTTGTGATAGTGCCGCATCATTTGCCATTCAAACAGAAGGAAATGTGATTTTCAATAGCGGTCAGCTGCAGAGAGGAGATGGTAGAAGTCCCAATCATCTCCTCCCATAAAAACACTTTAAAAGAGAAAGGTCCTAATTTTAAAAAATGAACGCACCTTTTATATTTAATAGAGATCGATAGCCAAGCGCTTTGTCTTCATTTAAAAGAATTGGAGTGTCTCCCAAATTGCCAAGGCTTGTTCCGAGCTTCGTTTCTTCCTCTAAAATTCATTTTAGGACAGACACATGACCTCGCTAATGAGCTCTTTTCTGCTCTTTTATTTCTTTTTCTTTTCGTCAATCTAGGTAATTTGCTAAATATAAGGTAGTAGCTCCAGCAACCTGTAAGTAGGGATTGAATTGATTTCACGCTTTTTCCAAGTCAAACGATTTTCTAATTCTTCTGCTGCAACGAAAAAATATTCGTAGGACCTGACTCATCGGTGGTGAACCCTCTCAGCTGTTTCGACATTTTAGTTTACCAAACCTACTTATATAGCCGACAGTTTATAAGAACTCTCTTGTTAGAGGTAGTTGAGCAAATTATGGTGAGTGTGTTGATAAGGATTTTTAACAACTATATGATATAATACACACACACCAAACCAATCCAACACAATAATGAAGCTATCTAATAGATTAAATTGTCGATATTTTTGGGAGGATCACCCCTGATGAGCAAGATCTTCCCAATATTTTTCTCACTTAATCGATTGTTTAGATTTAACAAGTACACAACTCTCAATTAATTAAAAGTTTTACTAAGTTTATAGCAATTATGTCTAATGTTATATTGTCAGCTTAACCATCCGAAGACCTTCGTGAAACGTTGTGTTAATTCCATAACACGTTATTACATTACAATCATGGTCAAAACTTACAGAAGTGGAATGTCTTTAATGTCGCCGGTCGTCCGTTTTTTTTTAAGGAGACAGAAGCAAAGTTGTTCACACTTGGTTATCTCGTGTGTCTTCAATAAAGGTCACTGTGTACCAAATATCTTCCAGAGTTATTGTCTGAATCCCGATATACATGCTAAAAGGTACAATTTCCTTAAGTTTTGTCTATGAGTGTTTATTAAGTTCTTATGGTAATTAGTTCTCCCTTATGAAATCTAGGTTGTTTCTCGAAATAAGAAGGTTTGGATAAATACTTCTAATTTTGAATTCAATCTTCCATCAAATGTCTATTTTGACGGCGAATGTTTTACTTCTTCTATGATCCTACACAACACTATCCTCTAGGCCAACCTTCCTGCTATTCAACAGGTCAGGTTATCTAACATACCACAATCCAGTAACAATAATGGAAACCTAAAACATAGCGGGTTGAAATTGCTGCCTGTCCATATATACTACAGCCGTGGAATTTATTGTGGGAACAAACAAAAATTGATAATATCTTCCCTAATGGTATTTAGATATCATTGGGTTTTGGTAGGATGTTTTATATTTATGTGACCATGAGTAATTCTATAGAAAAGTTACAGTTGAATTTAATTCAGATATAGTTAAGTTTTGTGGATTATTGACTAAAGAATAAAGCAAGAGACTATGGATTTTAGTTCTTAAACCCCGAATCAGTCTTAAATTCGGAATTTATATCAACATTGTTGAAAATCTGAAAGCTTTCAAATTTAAGTTTAAATTATTATTCAATAAACAAATCAAAGTAAACCCCATTTCTTTAGCAATAAAATGAGCATAAATATTAAGCATTACCATTCTAGAATTTTGGCCTTAAATCAGATCGATTTCTAATATAAAATTGAATTTGGGACTTTATAAACATGGAATATATCAATTCAATTTGGTATCAAACATTATATGTAATTTGTCCATCAGGTTTACACATCTATTTTATTTGGGATTTTAAACCCAAAACTTCAGTCTAAACTGTCATTCGGTCTAAAATTATGATAGGTTTCAATTCTATAATTGAGGACAACTAGAGTTCATCAAATATTGATATCATGAATTATCTATTATATAAATTATAAATAAAATACAATTCACTGAGGGAAGAATGTATTCTTATATATAACGGCAATACAAGCTTTCGGGCTCAACAGCTCTTCGACAGGTAAAAGTACGCTATTAAGGTTTTTTCAAAATATGAAAAAATCCATATATATATATACATACAATGAAGTAGGATATAAGAGATAGATATGCAAAAATACTGTATTTTTTATTATATAACTGTTTGAAAACTAATTTAAAGGATGTTTTAGATAAATTGTCTTTTTTAAATCACAGAACTGTAATTTTTGCTGAAAGAAAAACATATTTATTATACAATCCAATCCAATTAGCACGGCATGGGTGACGGATAAAGCCACCGTTGCAGCTATCTATTTAAAAACTCGGTATTTCTGCGGTCGCCCGGCAATCAACTTGCAGAGGGAGTTGAGGACTCAATCAACCAACAACAATGTTGATTCAGAAGCTGTTAGTATTCCTGACGGTCGCATCGACCTGGCGACGTTCTGCGGTCTTTATAGCACTTCCTTTCTTCACACCAGCTATATTGGTACATCAGGTTTGGTGGGTTCTTCAACCTTATCTGTGTTATACATGTTTCCACACAGCAAGAGAGTTTCTATCATAAATGATAAGTAAATATTTATCTTTATTACAGTATAGTAAGTAATTACCTTTTAATATCCTCAATTCTATTTTTTTTATTTGTAGATGATGTAGTCAAAGGTTTCCTTGTCGCCTACCTTTCCAAAATTGTCTCTCCTAACGACAATGTTTATTCAGTTATAACAACAAAGAGCGCGATGTACCGCTTAGAACATTGACGCCCAATGAAAAAGAGAAAAACAAAAAGAAAGGATTTGTAAAAGTTTTAATATAATATTAGATTATAAATTCCTATGTATATAATTATATATTATACAAGCTTAAACAGCATTGTTAAAATTTGATTTTAAAATAAAGGTATTTTTGATGAAACCTTGCTCCACTACCTTGGCTACAGAAGACAAAGAGATCATCCTGTTACATACAGGGCAGGATATTGATAAAGAGCATGTGGTTAAAAGCAAAAATATTCGAAATAATCGAATATTTACTGAAATATTACAAGCGACATAATTTATTCAATTCTTATGAATCAATACTCAATCTTATTTTTAGAGTGTTAACTGAATATGATAATGATAGAAGATTAGAACAATTTTTAACACCTTGCCAAATGCTTTATTTTTATTTCTCCTGACGAAGACAAAAGATTTTTATTGAAACCTTGTGAAAATAAAACTCTAACTGGCCAAAGTGTCTATTTTTTTACAGAAAAATGATAGAAGATGTTCATATTTTAGATGGTGATGTGGATATCTAGTAACAGATAAATATTTTGCTGGATATACGACGACAATGATTCACAGCACACATTCTGTACAACCCGAATTAAACTTCCAGTGAAACTATTCGATGAGTGTCTCCCCATCTGTAATTGGCTCTCTGAACCACGCCCCTCTCTCCTGAAGATATTGTCTCCTACACAATCAAATATTTCTATCCCCCCATCTTAACTCAGATGACCAACAATCCAAACAACACCTCTCCCAATGGAGGGAATCTAAACACCAAACATTTCTAATATATTTAATAACCCTTCATTTAGAACAAATTATATTTTATTTCATTATATTTGTATTTGACCATGCGAGAGAGATAGTTTTGAAAGAACAAACAGAACAATCGATGTACAGGACTTACTTACGTACTTGATTTCGAATGCCTTCTCTCACGTGTTCGAGATAGCCTCGACATGTGTGCGAACCTGAAGGAACATTTATACACTTATCAAAATATAGTTATTCTATGCCAAATCTATACTTTAAAAATATTTATCTATACATCCAATACTTTAATACTGTGTTGAATTTATAATCGGCACTTATCTTTTCAAAAATATATTACCAATAATATAAACGGAACATTGTCAAGGTGATTGCTTTTTGTTGAAATTTTGGACAATGTGTCCTTTATGTCTAGGTGAATAACTAACGTCGACCCTTTATAAGAGATTTCGGTTATAATTAGAAACATTAATTTTTGATAGTGTCGACCTAACTTTTGATATCCATTTAATATATGCAATGTATCAAATACAATTGATAATTTATTTGATGGTTTAAAATAATTTGATTGCTTGATGACTTGAAAGTCTCTTTAGCGAATTTGGAAAACACGCTCTTGGTTTTT